ATATATATATATAATATCGATCATAATGTAATAGAGACCCTTAATCTAAATACTCACCATCCAACATGTTATTCAACAAATTTGAATACAATGAAGGATGCCTGTTGTGTGTGTGTGTTTTAAATCTGCCTTCTACACTTACAACAAAGTTCTAGAAGCAGTAGGACACCATAGAAAAGTTAGGGTTCAGTCCCTATGCCAGGCACAAACTCAGCATCTAGCCTGACACTTGCTATAGAATGCTACGGAACCTCTGGGGAATGAAGCTGATTTCAGTATCAAAAAGTGCTTCACAGAGTATGTCGGTCAATCAATTTTGGTTGAATAGTTAAATATCTAAGATAAGCCTTGTAAATACAATATTTGAAAAATAATTCAAATGTGAGGCTACCGATAGTCTATCTATCTGTGTCTATTTGCTGTTGCAAAGTGAGTCTTAATAGCGGGGATATTTTTTCAAACTTTCAATATTTACACATTAGCATATGTGTGATCTCTGAAGCTGGAGTGCTGTAGCTTGAGAGCAGGGGCAGATGCTGGGACACACTGCGGTGTTGTCACAGAATGACAAGAACATAGAATATATCTTTCCATGAAATTGTGGCTAACGAGAAAATTTACCGATTACAAAAATCAATGGACTTGTGTAGGAAGCACAATGGCACATTCTCAGGAAGTTGGCTTTCCTTCTGGATTAGAGAGAAATGAAACAATAAAGACAAAATAAAAGATGTTTTTTCAATATTCATTGAAAATGCTAACATCTGGAAGGCTGAGGAACTAAACCAGAATGTCAACAGTACAATTGGTTAATGACTAAGTTGGCTGTTACTTGCACTTCCTTTATCATGGTAATGAGCAATTCCTATAGCATTAAATTAGAGATAAAAGAATGTTGCAGAGAGCCTACCTAGGAGAAATTCCTTGAAGTTCTCAATTACTAGGATTTTTCCGCTAATGGAAAGGGTTGCACAGGGTCTCCAGTGATTGTTTTCTGGATGCTTTCGCTCAATACATTCTTATTTAGAATTGAAAAAGTGCTAACCAGAAAAACAACTCATGATGCAATAAGGGTAATGGGGAATCCAAACAAAATACATTTATTTTCCTTACAAAAACACTTAGGGCATTTATATGTTCGTGTCCTTATGGACCTAACCGATGAACTCCTTAACATATCACAGAGAAAAGAATAGGTCGTATGGCAGGTACCCGGGAGTCTCTTCTGGACTTTTCAGGGAGGCCTTGTTATAAGTCACTTACACTTCACACCCGATCTCCTCAACCATGAGATGAAAGGTTCAATCAGCCCCTTCTAATGCGAATACTGGGGATCTTTTCCTATTCCAGCAAAAGACAAATCTACAGGAAAGAGTTTTATGCTGCAAGTGGCAAAATATACAGATACAGAACAGTCTTCTGAACTTAATTCATTAGCTTATACTAACCAAACAAAGTCTAGCTTCAGAACTAGTTAGTTTGGGATAGGGGAAACTATTAGTTCTTCTTGGTATATTCCATAACAATTCAACATGCTCCTGGAATTTTCCCATTTGTTTTGAGTATATTTACCAGCAAAAGTAAATACTCTTTTACGATTAATAAAAGCAGAGAACCTTAACTTGGTTTTTGTTTCGTTGTTGCATCTGAATGACTGGTCAAGTTAGAAAGCATTAGTTATGCTACTTTGAAACAGCCATGTTCTTCCACATGTAACTTATTTACTATAGAAATGGATGTATATTGGGCATTAGAATATGAAATTTCATCATTATTTTAATGTTCAGTTAAATAATTTTTACTGATAGTAGTTATATTTGTATTTCAATCTTAATATGATTTTCAGAAGTTTAAGAAAAATGAAATAGGTGATTTTGTATATTCCTGAGAGATTAATCCCTCTAAAACATAAAAACATTTGTATCCCTTATTGAACATTGATAAATACAAATTTCTAAAACAGACATCCTAACATCTTGTACATTTCCCCAGTCTATCTCTTTTAGTTTCATCTTTTACACTTTTCCCATAAAATAATTTTTGCTGTTTAACTTGAAGAGTTGGTATTTGTCTTAAAATGTGATGAATGTTTTAGTGAAAACAAAAGCCCAACAATACCAGGGATTCTATAGAAATTTAATCTTATAAATACCAGGGCTTATAGGAAAATGGTGTTGGGGTACATCTCTCAAAACTTATGCAACTACAGAATCAGGGCACTCACAAACACAATAACAATTCTGTTCAAAATATCTGTACCGCTCAAAGAGATACATTAAAAATTAAAAACATGGAATTATTTCAGAGGAGAAGATGGGTGTAGTTTAATGACAAGGGGTATCTGCAGAGTAGACAGTGCTGACCGACAGAGGTGTGAACAAAACGCAGTGGAGACCTAGAAAGTGGGCACTTCCAAGATGGAGCACTCGGCAGAAGCAAACGGAGAGCAAGCATATGGGTAAAACGGCACAGTGTGGGGGCTGCCTTTGGGGCAGGGTACTCTTGAGTTAGGTGTGCTCGGCTTGTTGGTTTGCTTTGCATGCAACTACCCTTATGTGGAGGTGCAGCACATTAATATGCTGGGAAGAACTTACTGGAGTCTTTCTCCTACTTGTCAACCCTGGACGAGCGAATTTGCACTTGTTCTTTCCCGAACACATTTCTGGCTCTCCGACCTTCCTACACTGCTCTTTGGTCTCTAGGACTTGAACGCTGTCCATATTCCACTTACTCTTTCTATTTATTGAACTCTAACCTCAAATGCCACCCCTCCAGAGCAGATCTCGATGCCCTTAACTCAATGTGACTAATCATTGTATACTCTACATTTTAAAAGGGATTTTAGATACACCTTGTATTTGAACTATTTTAGCGCTTGTCTTTTTCTCACATTTTCATAATAAATTTCTTGATGCCTGGGATTGGATTGGGTGAATCGTAGTACCAGGAAGTTGTAAGCATGAGTCTCAGTGATCTACAAAACACTTTATGAATATGCAGGAATGCTACTGTAATTATATTAACTAGAATACTAGGCTCTATGTTAGGAGTAGAACATATAATCTTTGCAGAATTAATGTCATAGTCTTACATAGTATGTTTGCTGACCGAGCACTAATGCTTTAGCTCTTTCACTGGTAATAGCCACTTGAAACTCTTACTGAAAATATACCAAAGAAATGTTTGGGGGAAATTGGTGTTTATTTATGACAACATTAATGTGGATTTCACTGTTTTTGTGGTATTGAAAGAATTTTACAGGCAATCTCCCATGGTAGAGTTCATAGATTACTGTCAAAACCATCTTAAAGGGATCAGACTTTGAAACTTATTCTCAGTGCTATGCTGATAAATTCATAAGACAAAAAGAGTGTTGGAAGTAAATTATACATCTGATTGACCACTGAATAAATGCAAATTTCTAAAACAGACATTCTACTTGTATTGGAGCTACATTCTTCTATGAAACTCTAGAAATGTTGGGAAGGAAGTGTGAAGTGTATTCTGCTTCATTAATGGGGGATTTGGGTTTTGAAAGGGTATCTGCATCTTAAATTGGAAATAAAAAATACAAAAGTATTATGTTTGAATTGCTATGTATGTCACACTAAGCTTCTAGGTATTTAATTTGTATTTTGTAGTGCTAATTCAATATATTTAAACTATTTTAGGCTCAAGTGAGTAGGGAGCTCTAATTTCTTTATGCCAAGAAATCTACTTCTAGCTAGTTGTTTTATATCTTCCTTTCAGTTATATATAAGAATATCCTCTATACTTGCAAACAGTTTCAAGTTCCTATCTCTTATAACTGGTGACATCTATTCGGTCTTCCTGGGCTGTTGTTTTCATTTTCTTCCACAGACTTTTAGACTTCCATGGATTAGAACTCATGTATTGGTAAGAAAGGTCCCACAGGAAATAAAACCTGAACATGGGTTGTAAGTGTATGCTTGATCAGCTTGGGGAGTACTCTTTTATGAAAATAATTACACCTTCATGACAGCCACACACTCTGAAAGCTCTGGACGTGAAGGGACTCAGAAGCAGCGCAGGAGATAGTTGTCTTAATTGACTGTGGTTGAAATGTCTTACCCCTGCAAGCTGTGCAGAAACTTATGGCCATAGGCACGCTCTGCTAGAGCTCTCCCAGGACCGGGGCAAGTGCCTGCTGCACACACGCAGGCAGGGAATTGACATTTCATTAGTTTGCTGGTGAATCCACCTCTCAACATAATCATTTCAAAATAGCTCCACATCCTCCAAAAGGTAATAGAACATTGTCCGATAAAACAAAGACATCTGTGATGCACACGACAGACCTGAGGAGATTTTTCATCTCAACTAACCTGACAGTGCATCCTTTGCAGTCACCTTCTATTTCTCGGAAATTCCACAAACCTATAGGTTTGCTGTCAAAGTATGTTTCTCCCATGCAGCCGGTGAATGTAATCACACGTACAGCATCAGCCTTCTGTAGAGAGAGGGACACAGTGCACTTATTAGAATATAAAATTTCACAAATAATCTGGAGGTATTTATGAGAGTTACTAGCAGCAGGAGCCAGACGATTTTCTGACACTCTTGGTTTTATATACAGTCTTTTCACTCTATTAGATTATCACAGCCACTTCGAGATGGGTCAACAAAAGGGGAACAGCTCCAAAACCTCATCAATGGACCCTGGTTACTTTTTGTGGTGCCTGCATTAGTAAAGGCTGTTGCTCCTTGATATCTTCTAGGGATCTGTCACAGGATCTCCTGGAAGCCTCGGTTTTTTTTTATATAAATGGGGCAGTGTTGGCACAAAACTTACGCACAGTTCTCGCATGCACTTCAAATCCTCTTTAGATTACCGACAAAACCTAAACTAATTTCAATGCTACATAAATGGTCATTATACTGCATTGTGCAGGGAAAAGTGACAAGAAAAATATCTGCATATGTGCAGTGCAGATGCAATGTTATTTTTTGAACATTTTCAAGCCTTGGTTGATGGAATCTGAAGATGGAGAACCCATGGATGCTAAGGTCAGGCTGTAAACACTTCTCAGCTGCTAAATTTCTCCATGGTGTATCCCTTGGTGGATAACATGGGATTGCTGTGGGAATTCAATTAGATAGTGTGTGTATGGTTAGCTCAGTACCTGCTACAGAGCGGAAGTTTTAGCGTTACTGCACCTGCAGCACTGTCTTTGGGTAAATCTGGGGCATGCATTCACCACAAGGACTCCTGTCCTGAGGTCATGAGAAAGGAAGGACACTGGGGACGCAAGGAGCACGGGAAGCATGCGCATAAATTACTCTCTGATAGTGCTGCCCTAAACCTTACCTTAGAAATCACAGCAAGGCAGGTCTTCAGTGCAAGGAGAATGAAGGAAACCAAAGCAACTTAGAAAGGCCCAGGTAGATGTTTGCTGGGACTCCATAAGTGTCTGCTGAACCCCAGTTCACAGAAGCCTGATCCACACCATAGTCACAAAAGAGCAAAATTACCAGTCCATTCTAGAGAACCTGGTAATTTAATTTAAATAACTGCTTATTTTAGCCTTGACAGATTACAAATAAATAGTATATTGTGCTGCTTATGACTTTAGAAACTCTGTGCCAAATCTAATGTATATTTAGGTGAATTATCTGGAAAAAATGGTAGATTGAAATGTTTGGACTTTAGAATAAATGTGAGAATATAGTCCTTGACATGGCTAAAAAAAAAAAAAGTGTGTAATTTCACATGAAAATTTTTCTACCCCTGTGGCCATTTGGAGGGGACACTTGCGACAGTGTAGGTCAGAGTTCTCCTTGGAAAGTTTCGCCATCAGCTGGAGCCCCTTGATTTACAGAGCTTGATTATCTTATGTATGGATTCTACTAGCTGTCCTGTGCCTCCTCAGATCCTGGAAAGCTATTCTTCAGAAAATTCCCTGCTCATTTAAATTTTCATCAAGTCCCGTTAGCTAACTGTGTTCAGCTTTTGCTCAGAGACTTGAAACTTTGTGACTAAGCTATTAAAAAAAAAACAAAAAACCCTTTTTATTTGCCTATATCTTCTTTTTTTTATGAGACTGACATAAAGTTGTTTTGTGCCAGTGACATCTGCAGAATAACTACTGAAAATACAATTCAAGGTACGACTGCTATCTCTTTGGCACATATTTTATACTCATAATCTCGTTACTCATCACGGTCATGAAATGTGGTGACTTAGGACTGGAGACGTCTGTGCTTGTTAACCTGTGTTCAAATCTAACCTCTGTCACTAAGGATTGTCTGACCTTAGTCAAGACATTTAAATTCTCTCTTCCTCACACTCCTTAACTATAAAATGGGGAGACTATTAGTGCCTACTCTACTCTGGTCTAAATGCCTGTGTCCGGCTCAAATTTTTATGTTGAAATCTTAACTTCCAAGGCAATGTTATTAGGAGACTGGTTGATGCTACTGAGACTGGCTGAGGACTGGGAGGTGATTAGGTCGTGAGGCTGGGGTCTCTATGACTAGGATTAGTGCCTTATAAAAAAGGCCCAAAGGAATGCATTCCTCCATCCACCATGTGGGAGCGCAGCAACAAAGCACCCTCTACTTGGAACGGGATCATTAGAGACCATACAGGCTAGGACCTTCATCTTGGATTTCTCAGCCTCCCACACTGTGAGAAACATATCTGTTGTTATATTATAAGCTTCCTAGAGCTACTGCATTTTTATTATAGCAGCCCATATCGACTAGGAGGTAACTTTTGAAAATGAAGTGAGCTAATTCATCCAAATCGCTTAGAATATTAGTGCATACTGAGTCTAAGGATGTTATGAAAGCCTATCACTGTATCCTACCATAAATAGAGCAGATATTTTTATTGCTTGTCTGTAGCTGAGAAAACTGAAGTCCAAGGGGTTAGGTGACTTGTCTATGGTCAGACTGTAGAAAGTGATAGAGGAGTAGATCCAAGCTGCATTTCATTTCAGTAGCTATGGGTTTTGCACCACTGTGTGCTGCCCCTACATTTATCCTTGTAGGAAGTAGAAAAAGTTGGCCATATGACGATATATTATTATGTATTGCATGCATTTATATGCAGTTCTATGAACTGAGGATGATTTTAGTGTGTCGTTATGGTATCAGTTCTTTAGAGTCACATCTCATACACAAAGCAAATAAAACAACCTCACTCCGTTTGAAGGTCGAGTTCTCATAAATTTGGGGTCACCCAGGCTTTTCACATTTTCTGACTAATCTCATCCCAGGGTGACTCTGACAAGGCCAGGATTATCTATTATATTTGGTTGTGCTCTTGCATCTCACCCACAGGTCGTTTTGAAACAGCTAATTCCATTTAATCAACTTAAGCTTCTTTAGAAGGAAGGCAAGTTGCAATTTGAAATGCACAAGGACCTGTCATGGAGCAATTATGAATATTAAGTGCATGGCTCTGTATGAATGAGGAGAAAAGCAACTGGAAAACTTTTAAAACCTGATCATGATTTGAAAGCTTATGCCTCCTGTGATATTTACCATGGTATTCATAAATCTTTTAATTAGATGTATGAACTTTATAACACTTCATATCTATAGATCATGCATTGATTCAGAAAACGAGGTACACTTAAAAAACACTTTACCTTTTTTTTTTTTTGTACTGGGGATCAAACTTGGGCCATTTTGCTTAGTGAGGGAGGTGGCAGAACCACTGAGCCAAATCCCAGCCCCCAAACACTTTATTCTTAAGGCAACTAAAACAAGATTATTAAAAAAAGATGCCACAGATAAGGACAGGACAATAACTATTTAAGTGGATATGTGTAGGCTTATGAATAAGTGCTTTGGAATTGAATTTCCACAATTCAAAGATAAAACCTCACTTAAAATAAATTCACTCTTTCATAACAACCAGTTAAGTAAAACTTGGCCAAGTTATGCAGAGCTTTGTCCCCAAGGAACCAGAGCAGGTGTCGTGTGTCAGGATGAATTCAGCAAGGCGGGGAAGAGCACACTACCTTTAACTTTCCAGTCAGGCCTCCGACGAACAGCATCGCATTTGCATCCACGTCTAGGATGGTGTAGCCTGGAGGAGATGCTGAGTAGTGGGTAGTAGGCATAATACTGGCTTTGGGTCCATCCAGGGCTCTCACGGAAATGGACCCATTTCTCCCCGTTCTTCAAGGGCACAGGTGGAAATGAAGAGGAAGACAAGACAGAAAATGAAATGCGTGTCCTCTTTCTGTCCACTTGAGATTTAAAAGCGGCACAGTATAGAGAGTTGCTCAAGAAAAGTTTAGAGATAACTGATTGTTTAGCTTTGAACCTTCCAGATTCATTAAATCTCCCATCAAGACTCACAGTTTGATCATTGCTAGATACTTAGGGTTAGATTCCGCCACGACTAGCGAGCCACACGCTGTGATTCTGAGTGTCCACGGATAGGGTAGGAGATGACACGGCAGCAATTAACTGACAGAACCGCTGTCCAATGGGTCAACTGGAAAGCCATGAGGCTTTACTTAATAATCTACTATTTTCCAACACATATAATTTAAACACATCTATATGACTTCATTTTGTATTTTGTTTGATTTAATCAAGCCAGTTAACCCCAAATGAGCCACCCTTCTGCAGTATAAGCTGCATAACCTCTCCTAAAATTCCTTGCAATATCTGGGACCCAAGGAGTCGTCTTGGCATTGTATGTCTTTTATTGTCTGGCACATCTCTTAATGGATATAGTCTCTAATCTAGTCTTTAGAGTTGTGTATACAAACTGCATAAAGTTCCGTTTTAAATTCAATTAACACAACTTTGAAAGCTATTATGATTTCATTTCATTTTCTTTTTTAAGTGATTGATTTCCACGAATTGTTAAGTGTGGAAAATCTGGTCTCTCTTCTGAAACAAGCAGTCATAACGCAGCTTTACTGTCACATCCCTTTCTCTGCTGCCTCATTTTGGCAATGTCTTTATCTGTGAGGGGGCATGGAAACAAAAGAATGATTCTGTCAACTAAGGCTCTTCAACAGAACGAATTTCATCTGGTAGAAGAAGAATAAATGTCTTCAAACCCAGGAAAATACTTAAACCCCCAACACCACATATGTGAGTGTCTTGTTTCCCTCTTACACATACACACACACACACACACACACACACGCACACACACACACACGCACGCACTTTTGCTGAATATCTTAATAATGAAATAAAACTGTCATTTTTCATAAAATTGTCTTTCAATTTTTTTGGTAAAAAATTTAAACATACACAAACAGAATGAAACTCTGTGCACCCTTATCCCAGTTTGATCAATGTCAGTTCTTCAACATTTCTCTCATCTCTGAGCCTCAGCTCTAGCCCCAGGCCCATCGCTGTACATGCAACTCTTAGCTGCTTTGGATGCAACAGGGAGCTGAGACTTGATCAAAGGAGAGAAAAGGAGGAAAGTACTGAGGGCAGGAATGGTTCTCTAAGTGGTCTGCACCCTGTCAGAAACTGATAATTGATTAGAGATAAAATTGTTGATTACTGAAGATTAAGATTATTGAAAACAGCTAAAACTCCAAACTCCTACCAAATAGCAGATAAAGGGCTTATAAAGGCCTGCTCACTCTGGTCACTGCTGTGAAGGTTTGGAAATTCCTAAGAGGTATGACAGATGTACAAATTCCCACATATATACACATGTAATATGTAACATTCACATACATGTGCATGCATTCATATGTCCCTGCCTGATTGAAATGGACATAGAAGCTTTCTCCTTAAACTGAGGAATGACTTCAACCCTGTCATTCAGTTATCTTGATCTTGTTACCTTGATGCTTCAATGCGGTACCAAGAGGCGTCATTGATAGTCATATCTGGGTACTCCGCGCGCCCCACTCCAGAGCCAACATCCCACAGGAAGCTGACTTTGCCTCCACGCATTTCTATAGCCAGGAAGTCAATCTGGTGCAGAGAACCACAAAGACAATAGTTATCAGGTACCAAGCATTGTGACAGAGAGGAGAGCACAGTAATTTTCACTAGGTCCCATTTACAGACACATGAAAGAACAGAATTCAGAATTGATTATTATTTTCATCAAAGACACTGATTTTCAGGGTGTAGCTATGATTTTTTTTTAACCTAAAGTGACCCAGAGCTCCACGTGTGAATGGCACACACTAACTTATGCCACGACTGGTCTGCTGAAAAGACATTTGTATGAATGAATCCACACTCGGGCAAAGTCAAATGTTCAAACAGAAAGAGGAAGAACTCGATGGGTGAGTTTTTGTAGGTGAGACTTGGGTCACTCCAGTTTGAGTTAGAAGAGTTTTCACCCACCATAAATTAGTATGCAGTTTACTTTTCTCACTTCATGAGCAAGAAAGTTCCTCCTAATTTCTTAGTTTGAAAAGTTATTTTCAAAGCTTTATTCTTCTTAGCCTTTCTTCGTAAACAGATAGCTCTAAAAATATAACCCAAAGTAAACATTAGGGCACTGACAAATGAAAGCAAATGTGCCTGAATATTGTAGAGAATTTTCTTCCCGTTTATTTGACATTTCAGAACTTTGTAAAATTTTGAGGTTTCCAAATGTGCAAAGTCAATCTGGTGCAGGACCAGTGCGAGGGTCATGTTATTGCGTTCTATACATTTCCCAGTGCCAGGATTATCCTCTGATACCACATACGTGCAGTAGTCCACAGAAAAGCTGAATATTAAACTTACAAATTTGGCACTCCCGAGATAAAAAAGGAGGTTGTCAGCAACAGCCGTCTTGACATGGATAATAATATTGTTGTAGCTTCCTTTCTTGATTTCTGGCTTGTATGTTCGAATGCAGTCACCTCCCGAAGAGACAGACACTTTGATCTTTAAGAAAAATGAGACACAAAGACCTAAGATCGAACCTCTCAGCAAGTCTGAAGTACCTCCCAAACAACCATAGAACTAGCATCATTTTTTTTCTTTGAAGTTACTTTTCAATCATCAGATAGTATCATTCAATACCCATATGCAGATCCATTATACTCATTAATCCAGGCACACAAGAGTGGTCTTCCATGAGAATTCTGACAATGAGCTGTTCGAAGTTCTATGTTTTCTTAGCACACTGCTTTTATTTGAATCATACAACTAACAAATGCCTACCTTTCTCCTTTAAGAATATAGGCACATTTTTCCAAAAGAGATTTTTGCAAGAAGCTAATGGGAATGATCTTTATTAAGGTTGTTTAATGAAAGTTTGCCATTCACATTGCAGCAATTTTGGCATCGTTTAAAGTAGAGGATGAATGTTAGGGAAGCCATTTTTCTTTTAGTTTTCAAGAGGAAATTACTGGCCCTCCTATTTTCTTACAGATGAAAGAGGCCAAATAGATTTTGTTCTAGATGTTCTAACAAGAATATTAATCATTCCTCTCAGAGCATACATTTCAGAATAAATTATACCTTTTTATTAAGTTTCCAGGAAATAAGATGGAAATAATTTCCAATGGGTATCACTACTAATATATGTAACAGCTCCTTTTTTCTTTTGAATAGTACTTTAAAAATTACTATAAATTGCCAAGAAAGAAATTCCTATGTGAATCAAATGACACTGTTCCTTCAGGTTTTAGCTTATATTCAGGAAGTCTTCCTTCAATCACAAATTACACTATTGGATTTAATTGCCTTTGGTTAAGGTACAGAATTATCATCAAAGGGGCACTTTCAGGACAGCAGTGTAGTTCTTTGGACTCGGAAAGAAGTTTTTACTTTGCTGACTGATGGCACTCAAAGTAGGAGGCAGGGGAGAGAAGATGCAAAACATCTTTTGCTACTGGTTCCAATGCCCAGCTTCCAGAAAAATGTTGGTACTCATACCCAGGGAATTCTTATCTTCCCATTTCTTCTGACATTTTGTGTGACTCATTTAGTTTGTATATTTGGAGGAAAAGCAACCCTAGCATTATTGTTAACCCCACACAAAGCCTTTGCAAAGTCTAAGCAAGTAGCCTACGCTATCATTCCAATCTCCATACTATGAAGACACAAGCAGGTGTCTCGAAGAATTTGATTAGGTGTGAATGTAGGGAGCATGATGGCCCCTCTCCAAGGGTGAAAAGTACTGAGGAGGTGCTAGGTGCAAAACTGGTTGGATTCAAAAGGGAGAGCTAAGAAGGGATTTGGGGTACTGAGTGCAGGTAAACGAAAATACATTTGGGAACCTCTGGGAACACAGCAGATCAGTGGCAGCTCCTGTGACTCCACACAGATTGCAATTTAGGTGTCATTGTGACCTCATCTGAACTGCTGAGCAAATTGTATCTCCATACAGTTGAAATGGTTGGGAAAGAAATAGATAGTGGCTATTACCCAAGAAAAGGCGCTGTGTGTGACAGCCTGGAGCAGCTGAAGGACATAGGATCCCACTTCTGAGGCTGCTTCCCTACCCTTGTCTTCTCCCTCAGGGTGTGGCCCAGCCTCCTAACTGAGGAATTCAGGACTTGGGGCATCTGTGATGCCCAGCGTATTGCTGGTCGTGTGGTGTTCAGTGAGGAAGTTGGTGCTTTGATTCACAAATGAAGGACATTCCTGTCCACATATGGAGCTGGGAGTGAATGAAAAAGAATAGAAAAGAATCTCAGAAAACATGCAATTTCTACTTGATGTTGATAGTGTAGCAGACATGCAGTAGAAGGTGACAACGCACGCTACACGATAGGGTAACGTGGTACAGAGTCATTCAAGGGCTTGGAAATGAACAGGATAAAATAACACGAGAGAAAGACCACACAGTGGAGGGAAGGCAGGGAAGGCAGTCTTAGTCTTCATCTATTTTTAATGTTCAGAAAATGGTGGAAGAGACTGAGTTTTTGCAGCAAGTGATCCAAGCAATTTCTACTGATGTTGATAGTGTAGCAGACATGCAGTAGAAGGTGACAACGCACGCTACACGATAGGGTAACGTGGTACAGAGTCATTCAAGGGCTTGGAAATGAACAGGATAAAATAACACGAGAGAAAGACCACACAGTGGAGGGAAGGCAGGGAAGGCAGTCTTAGTCTTCATCTATTTTTAATGTTCAGAAAATGGTGGAAGAGACTGAGTTTTTGCAGCAAGTGATCCAAAACCATTGTGGTAGAAAACCTAGGTGTTGAGTAAGGTTAATATCTCAGGGGCATACAGGAGCCACTGATATAGTAAGAGAACAAGAAGTCAAGATCTGACTGCCATCCACGAGCAGAGCTAAACAACAGGCTGAACTGTCTACGGCAAGAAATGTGTGGGACTCATTACCAGTCAAAGTAGTTTGCTTTATCTTCACTTCATAAATGCTTGACTGTAGTCCTTGGCTGTAGGACCGTACCGTGGCAGGTTTACTCACAAATGAGCCATGGTTACTCAGAGAACACAAATGAACAGCACTCCTCGGTTACTGTCTAGAGAAGGAATGTTCAGGTATGTGTGGATGGGTGACCGTGTAGTCTCAGACCATGCAGCACAACATGGGGAGTGACATGACTGCACGTCGGAGAGGGAGCTGTCACTGAGCCAAACAGAACCAGCAGTGGGACCTGATGAACTGTGAAGCTCAACCCGAGATGTCAGTGTGAGAAAGTAGCTATTTTAGAACCGAGAGTATGCAATGAAGCTAGGATTAACAATTAATTTACTCTATACATTTGAAGTTCTAGTTCTCTGAACAAAATGACATTGCCGTGTCCAATATGCCAGCAGCTGATCTTGCAAAGACAATGTACTGTTCAACTCTTATGCACACATATGAAAAACCCTCTGAATTTTCTGTCTTCTGGTTTCGAATATAACCTGAGTACCTGAAAATCACAGGCAGCCCAAGCTTTTGGCAACCAATTCATCAATACTAATTTCTCCTTATAAATACTCTGTTTAATTCACAATTACAGATATGTCTTTTGAGCAACTTAAAACAGGTAACTCAAAATACAATATCTATAAATTTCTTTAGAAGAAATCACTAGGATATTTGCCTCTTTCAAAAGGGGTGAACTTTCTAAAATACAAATGTCCTCTGGCTCTATCAGTCATTGTACTTCTAATACAGCCCCTTAGTGAGATTTCTAAGGGAAATCATTAAGCATTTGATACTGCTAAGGCATTTCTGACATAACATTATTCATCATATAATCATCATGAACTCAATTAGTCATTATTGAGTATCCCATTATAACTATTGGATTTTCATTGCATTTTCCATGCAGTAACTAGGACATTTATTTAAAAAGAGTATCAGCAAAACAAAACAAAACAAAAAAAGAGATTGTTAAAAAAAAAGATTATTAAAAAGAGTATCAGCTACTCAAAGTGAGAACCAACAAGCCCAAAAAGAGCTGGTTTAAAATAAATGTCTTTAATTTCTTAATTAAGAAATGGTTTTTAATTTTAATGTCAAATATATGCCAGGGTCATAGCCAGACACTCAAACCAAGTTGAAATTATGTTACAAGTCAGAAAATATAATCTTTAGTTTGTACAAAATTCATTTAAAAATGGCCACTTGCATATTCTTAATATTTAACAAAAATAAGGCATTTTGTTGTAACTTCGCCTTGTAAAGTGAATTACAATTTCTTTGAAAGATTATTTTATACCTTTTTAATGTGTACCTTTTACTCTAGACAGGTACGTAGTTGTACTTTTTGTTTGTTTGTGGTATCAGGGATTGAACTCGGGTCCTTGTGCTTGCAAGGCAGGTGGCAACACCACTGAGCTAAATCCCCAGCCTTGAGACAGGTACATAAATGTACTTACACATCGCAATTTTGTCTTTTTTATGAGGAAGGAGAAATGAATTTGCAAGTGGTGAATATTTGGGCAAATTTTAGATTTCTTACAACTAAGAAATAATGAATATGCCCAGGTTCCCCTATTTTATCAGGTAATTAAATCAGAAACAATGGCTCAATGTGTGATGCCTAGAAAAATATTTATTACTTTTTCATTAAAGATATCATTGTTAAAAATGCATATGGAAGTGATACGGTAAGTACTTTTTTGCTACCGTCAGGGTCTTCTGTCTAGGTTCTCCTAAATATGTTCTTGATATTTAAGCAGCACAGGTCTGGTCTACTCGACTACACTGTTCAGGCTCAAACACTTTCCCAACAGCCAAACAACAGATGGTGATTCATCTATCATTTAAGCACAGAGAAGACCTGGTTACCTTTGGCCTTTCCAATTTCATGCTGACTTTTACACTTTCTGCACTTCATGACAAAACAGAATGCTTTTTCATGAACTGATCCTACAATGTTCTTCACTTTCTGCCTTCGTTCAAGCCATTCCTTGTCTTGAGATGCCCTTCCACATCCCCTGTCCCTGCTCCCCACTTCCACATTATCCCACTTCAAGCCCTGGCTCAAAGTCTTCCCTTTGGGCTCTCTTCTGATCTCCTGAAATGATCTTTCACTTTTGCCCAGGCCCACGTGATTGGTACGGTATTTCTGCATTATGTTAGCATTGTTTGTATACACGTCTTATTTCCCTTATGGCATGATAAAGTTTAGTGTATTCGAGCAGTAATAAAATATAACAGGATTCCTAATTTTACAACAATAAGGGTGGCCATCATTCTCTTGAAATGTCCTTTGTCATTTATAAGAAAATTCATCCCCCCTTCCATCTGCAAGTAGCTTTAAAAGAAAGAAAAAAACGACTTGGAGATTGTTCAACAGGGTACCTGGTGGGGTGTAGGGGTGTATGTGTGGCATTCCCTCTACAGTAACAGTAACAGTTATAATCAGTTACTGGCTATGGAAATAAAAAGAGCTTACGGAATTGGCTTGCTTCCGGGCTTGGTTTATCAATTCTTTTATCTCAGAGATATTTTTCTTGAGGTTATCCTCCAATTCCTTGATGGGTTTGAGTTTGTCTAGGAGTCGATCAGCTTCCTGTTCGAGACTTTTCACCGTGGCGTCTGCATCTGTAACTGCATTGAACACATCCGGGGATACACACGAACGTACACATGCATGCACACACGCACGCACCCATGCCCAGAGAAATTAGCACACGGGTGTGTTTAAGTGATTTCTTCTTGTCCAGGGGACCAAGCAGGGCCGTGGCTATTAAAGCAGGGTATGCCGGCAAGTGGAGACTCGAGCAGCCCAGAGATGTTAGAAAAAGTCTTTGGCTTTGTGATTAAGGTGAGAATTAGCATTGAAAGGTAGAAGATAGGATGAATTTAATTCAATGCTTAATTTTTAGTTTCAGCCAAAAAGCTAACCTTTATAGAACAGAACTTTAGTCAGATAAGTAGGAAAGTGAAAGCATCTTGAAAATGTCACCTAGTCTATCCCGGCCTGAACTGTATTTTAATCAAGATTCTTGCACAAAATTGGTTTTCTTTCTTTTCCTCGCTGTCTTTCTTTATACATCTTTAAGAGAGATGCTAGCAAAATGTGGCTTGAAGAACATTTCGAGCAACCCTCACACTGAAGGCCTGCACTGTGCTTTAATTAAATCTTTCAAGGGTACAGTTCAGTTTCATTTTGAAGGACAGCTGATTGTCCTGGGGTGTGTATGACGTTGAACCATATTAAATGACTGTTTTTGTGGGTTAAAAAAGTGGAATACTGGCAATTTCAAAAGTTTCAACCCTAAAATACTTGAAGGCTTTCACTGATCTGCAGACTTTCAGTACGTGCTTTTGTGGGAGGGCATAAGACAGATGAAAAAGTAATATCCTATCTCTGGGATGCTGGCGGTCTTACCCCAAGGATGTCATTTATTATCTGGTTAAACGCCAGTCGTTCAGCTTTTGGTCACTGTGATCCTGATGAAAAACTGGTACCATTTAAGGTCCAAGGCTACCTGCCCTGCAGACTGTGCTCGAACCCAAGGGAGTTATTTTCAAACAAGGTTTTGAAATAGGTATTTTCAACTCATGCTCATAAATATGAACTATACTCACTGGTGTTTAAAAAGGAATTTAGGGTTATTATTTACTTTATTAAATCCAGAACTGAGTATATTCTTCTGGAAATGCAGTCTGTCTAGCATAAAGCCCTTGCTCTGTGTAATTGTGTAATTGTGTAATTGTGCATAAGCACCGTTATCCCACTGTTTTGTGCATTTGAAATAAACCATTTGTTCATTTGTTTCCTTCCTTTAATTCTCCATTGTTATTCTGATATTCTACAAATCACTCCAGAATCAAGAAATATTGGCTTAGATTTAGATTCCTAAGAAAGAGAGAGTAGTTAAGCAAAGATTAGGTAGGCTTAGATACAATGAAGGTCCTTCTAATGCTCTCAAAAGCTCCTCTATCAAATACTTCTAAAGAGACTCTGGAGGGATCTTGTCCTCCTGTTTCCTTTCTATTCAGAAGCAATGTAAATAATGCAGGACTTTCTTCTTGGAGGTGTGAAAACTAAGTCATTTGTGGTATTAAGTTGGATGCTTTCTTTTTAGTAATTTTGAAAACATTCTCATTTTCTTTCCTAATTACTTACTTGAGTATATTTTAAAATCACTTCTGAAAATGGCTTTTGATAAGGTGGTTATTTTCTAGATTATCTGTATCTTTTAGGATTTAAAATTTATCAGTGTAAAATTTGACCCAGTACTCTTTTATGTGTTAAATTTCCTCTCTTTGGTAGTTATATCTCCTTTAGAACTTGGCCTATTTGTGCCATATATATATATATATATATATATATATATATATATATACTTTTTTTCTATTATTATGTACTACTAAACTTTTACCTCTTGGATTTATTAGTTCTGTTATTTTGCCTTCTAATTAATTTTTAAACCCCTTTTTCTTTAAGTCAGTTGTATTTTTTCTAACTCACTGAATTGATTGCATAAAAGTTGTTTATTTCAGTGCTTATTCGATAATTTCTCTCACTTTGCACTGAGGACAGCCTTAGTCACATTCTTTAGATTTTGATTTATTTTATTATTTTTTCTAGTTATTTTGATTTTCAAGTTAGACTGAGATATTTGAGAGAATATTTTTATATCCCAGTACTTGCTCATTTGTAAAGACTCAATATCTCTATACATGTCTTCAAATTTCATTATTTATAAGTTGAGAAGAATTACTTATAAGGAGGAGGGAACCTGTTTTTTTGTTTTTTTTTGTTTTTGGTAGGGGATTGAACTCAGGTCCTTGCGCTTGCAAGGCAGGCCACTGAACCGCTGAGCTAAATCCCCAGCCCAGAACCTGGTATTTTGCAGGGAAATAACAGCAGCACTGGCCTGGTTTGTTTTAACCTTAGTTCAAGAGGCCATTTGAGCTTCAGCAGCTGAATTTGGTTTAGCAGAAACATTGTGATTTAGTTCAATCTGTGCAGGAAGTCACTTTTCAACATTTTTGTGCACATCATAGATATTTTACTAGTTTTTAAGAATGCTATGGAAGTACTGTATATCAAATATATCAAGTACTAAAGTCATACAGAGGAAGACACTTTTTTTGTTTTTTGTTTTTTGGTCCCGGGATTGAACTCAGGACCTGTGCTTGGGAGACAGGCAGAGGAATCACTGAGCTAATCCCCGGCGAGGAAGAAAGACCCTTTTATGCATCTAACTTTCCTATAGTGACAGCAGAAAGAATCCCCGTGTGATGTTTACAGCAACCCCAAAATATGGTGCCATGCTGAGTTGAGCTTTCTGCGATAGACAATGAGTTAAGCATATAAGTTACTTAACAGCGTATGAGTAAATGTATACATACTGATTTCTGCAGGCAGTTTCACGAGGAAGTAAAACAAAAAGAAATTAGAAAATTCATGAGGAAATATTTTCTGAAAATATTACAATATAGTGACTATCACAAAAATGTTACTTTTTACAAGAGGTACAAATTAGAAATGCACCTCATTTTAAACAAACATTATCAAATAAAAGTACATAAAATATGTCATTTAGCAAGCTTGTTCATATGGAACAAAATGATCTTATAATGTTCTAATAAAGCAGAAAATGGAGAAAATTTAATATTTATAGATAATTATTTCCATTAATGGAGGGCAAATTTTAAAAAATCCTAGATATATATTATCAAGAGGCCATTACTGGTTGTGAGTCAATCTAAAATGGAATAAAATGATGTTTTAAATGATAAAACAAGTGAAACAGATAGCAATATTTACATAAAAGTGCATCTTTTCCTCATTTTGATTGGAAATGTCATGCTATGGAATGTATCAGAAGTTACTCAATGAATCTTTGGGCTATGGAGGAAGCTACATCTGGGTTTACATTAAAACAAACTAAAAAATCATTCTTATTTCCCTTTTATTTTCCCAGAAAAAAGGACAAGAAAGGGGTCCTCTTCCTGGCTCTGCATATGTATCAGACGTGTGTGCCCTTTCCTGCTCCGAAAGGGGCCATGCAGTCCCGAGACCCAGTGTCCCGCTGATGTCCTGCGCTCACACCCTTGGCACGTGAGGGGAGGCGAGGGTGCTAGCACCAGGCTCCCCTCCCGAGCCAGGCTGCATCTGGAGCATAGAGCTCAGAGCATCGGTAACGGACTGTGTGCCCTTGCGCTGCACCAATACTTTCGTGAAGAGGGCCAGTCTCTTGGAACTGAAAAGAACAAAAAGCCAAACATGTCCCTGGGTGAAACTATGCAGCAAAATAGTGTCTTATCACTTGGCAGACAGGAAAACGATACTTTAAAAATGTTAATGTTTATCAACTATATGCAGCTAACAATATAAATTATCCTATTAAACTCTTAGATTTCCTCAGTTCTGATGAAATCAATATAATTTGACACAGTGCGTAAGAGATGTGAAGACACAGCCCTTATAAACTAGATATATGCTTTATTTTATTCCCTGGAATATAAGAGGATGGGATATAAACAGTAACATCAAAAATTCCAAATGTTAATGCTTCTCAAATTGATATTTGCATACCCTGTTCTGACTGGTCCGCTAATGGGTGTGTTCCTTACATTCTGTCACGTGAAACTCGGCCAATTCTAAGTAGAGAATTTCCTGTGAACAAATGTGTTTTCAGTTATACTAATGGGTTCAAAAGTGTAAAAAGCGTTTGGCCATCTTACACCAGATATAATGCAGATGACGAGAATTCTTCATCTCCTCTCACACGGACAAAATGTAGTTGACAAAGGCAGATGGCAGAGTTAGGAGACTGACTAGGGAGTGGAAGGCAACTCAGTTTCCGTGCCCAAGGTATGTGGAAAAGGACAGACAGCACCACCCTAGGATCTTTTCCAGCTCTCCCTTTTATGAGTCTAGGACACTTTTATAGTGTGAAGAAATAAATGATATCATTACAGTGAAAAAGGAGAGCTTACTGTTCTTAGAAGGATCTTTTAGTACAGCGTTCGTTTCGGCCACACTGGCTGCCAGTCTATTGTAATTTTTCTTCAGGTCATCAAGATTCTGGTGGAGATCTTTAATCTGGGCCAGTACATCTTTCGCTGTGTCGTTGGCTTGTCTGGCTTTGTCCTTAACAGCTAGCAGTTTGGTGGCTGTGTCTGTCAGCAAAAGAGAGAATGAGAAACCAAACAAAGGGTTTAGAGCTGGTGGTTTAAGCCATGCTTGTCACAGTGAGGCTGCGGCTGGCTGACCTCAGGGACACATTTTTGGTAGGAAAAGGCTGAACTTTGTCTCATTCAGTTGTAGCAAATGAAGCAAATTTTTTAGCTAAATTAAATTTTCTCAGGGACCTTTGCTATGAATATCTGATTAGCTCTTAAAATAGACAAGTTATTATTCTAAATGTTCACTGTATAAGGGCATATTGTGATTTGCTGCCGAACATATTAAAGTGTGAAATTTATTTGCATGAGTTAGATAGCATCAACACAACTGGGCTTAAGACTTAATCTGCATTTCCTGAGGGAGGTGGAGAATGTGTTTCAATTTTAGGAGAGAGACTTTTTCAGGAATGTTAGACTGTGTTAGTGCATTTTCATTTGTTTTTAGCTTTGATTTTCTAGGTGCAGTAAGTTCCTGACTTATGAACATTTGAGTAGTAAACTTTCACAGGTACAAACAGACCTCACATTATGAACATCTGTGGATGCAAACCAATCACAGAAGTAGCTCACGTGTCTACTTTCTTATTTTAAGGTAACCATAAAAGTAAAAATATTTTATTTGTAGTATTTGTGCATCTGTTTGGTTTTTTCTGCTTTCGATTGTGTATTTGTGTCTAAGGTGTATAAGATTCACTTTGTCTGATTTACAGCTGAGTCAGATTTACAAACAAATCCCACTTAATGAACATCCTCCCAGAATAGAACTTGTTCCAAGTCAGGGACTTACTGTAGTCACTACCCAAGAGGTGACATGAAAATCTAAAGAATTACTCAATGGTTTAAAAAATTAAATTTTCATTAGCCCATGTTTGCAGTATACACCGATTTATATTCACTGTGGATTGGCACAGGTACACAACACATCTTTTATCCCTCCCCCTATCGAGTCAAGTTACAAAAATGCTTCTGCAAACAATGGCCTTCTGTCCCCTCTGTCCCATTCCATCCGTGGAAAGTGAGGTCAGTCTCATAGGATCAGTGTAACAATGGCACACATTTACAAAAGCACACTGACTAAGCACTCAACGATGCTTTTAACCCTTGCTGTTGTACAATGCCATTAAAATATAAAAATAATATCCCTAAAGGAATGTATACTTTTTGAAGCACAAATGTCGAGGAGTTCTCATAAGTAGAGAGTGTGAATATGTTTCGACCATTAATGTTTTTGAAAACTGGAGCATGTAAGGAATTAAATTTTTCCAAGAGCTATGTGGAATGGCACTGGCCTGTCATCTATTACTGTAGGTGCTATAATAAAATGTGACTTTGTGATAGTACATCATGATTTCAGAGAACAGAGCCTGTGTGATTCTATTCCTTTACATCAATGAAAGAGTTCTTAGGCTGAAACTTGGAAGGCAATATAATAATAAGATGTCTCTTTCTACCTGTTTGTAACATATCCCTTTGGACGACAGCTGAAGGCAACGAAGGATAAGTAATGTCACAGTGTTAAATGTGGTTTAGTTTCTCACTCTCACAAAGAACAATTCATATGGAAGAAAACCGGTATCTAATTGCCTGACAATAGTACAAGGATGATGTACGAAAAATGGTAAAAGTTTAAAATGTTCCTAGAAAGTCCAGATGAACTGGCAGAAGGCGTAGGTCCTGAGTGCTTACCATTTGGAATGGTTGATAACTTTCCTACAGTGGCATTCAAAGCTTGCAGGAGGTCAACATTTCTAGCCTCGGCATTTTCTAACCGGGTGGTCAAGCCACGGAGATGTGCGTCATTTTCTGTGAAGAGAAAGCAAAGAAACCAACGGAAAGGATAAAACAATTTTAATCATCTGTGAGTTTATACTTTGATATGGAATTTCAGCTTATTTTCTCACAAAGTTAATAAAAAGCAAGAAAATTGATATACTTCTTTTACTGTCATCTATCAATACTTCTCATCATGATATGAAATCCATGTGTTTAGGAGCACTGGGCATGTCACTCTGCCAATATTTATATATTCTTCTTGGCTATTATCTGGGAACAGCAGTGGAGGGAAAGGAAGACCCTTCAGGGAGAGGACTCTGCACTATTAGTGCTCCGGATCTGAGAACATACTGAAAATACCAGTCATCTACTCATTTCACACATAGGTTTCATAGGCAGTGCTGTTAAGCCACTGTTACACTACATATATAACCACGGTTATACTACAGATTATACTAATATAAACAGATAATTTTGTTTAAGGTGCATGCTTTTAAGTTTCAAGCCAGAGACCCAATAGTAAGGAAAAACAAAGCATAAAATAGTTCAACAAAGCCTGGCTCTAAAACACCAATATATCCATTTCAGTCACTAATATGTTGTTATTTTCAACTCTAGTCCCTCAAATATACTTTTCCAAGTAATTGAATTTTCTACTACGTCAATCACAATTCATCTTTCTTTTAATAATTCTGTGATTGCCACTCTTTGTACTGAAATAAAATCTTTGGCTAGGTTATCAAAAGTAGACTTTCTGAAGCAAATTCAGTCTTTGACTGTAATATCTATATGAATTCCTTGAAAACAAAGGGCTATTCTATTGATATTAATTTGGAAATCTTCATCAATTAAGGAAAGAGAACTGTGTAAATTTCATTTTTAGCTTCTTGATTGGATTTTATATTTAAATAATGAAGCCTTCAATTGCACTGCCAAGGAAAATATTCACAGAAAGTGAAAAAAATCATTAATTCAAAGGGCATCATTGGGCTTATACTATTTTCTGCATTCTGATATCTAATACTGGCAGATCAGGCCAATTATTCCAAAAAGAGAATGACCTGAAGACTATTTTCACTTCTGTCCCTCAAATTCTAAAGTAATAGTAGCATGAAATAAATGAAATCTCAAGAATCAATATAACAAAGGGAGTAAAAGATTTTTAGATTGAAAACTACAGTACTCTGGAAAGGAGACTGAAAAGGATGTCAGAAAATGGAAAAATATCCCTTGCTTGGGGGTAGGAAGAATCAACATGGTAAAAATGGTCATGCTTCCAAAATTGTTATACAGATTTAAAGCAATCTCAATGAAAATACTAATAGGATATGTCACAGAATTCGAGAAAACATGCCTAAAATTCATTTGGAATGGAAGAGACCTAGAATATCAAAAACAGTTCTGGGCAACAAAGCCACATTAGGAAACATCAATATCCCTCACTTGAACTTATACTACAGAGCTACTGTGATAAAAACAGCACAGTACTGGCAAACAACACAGACCTGAGGATCAATGGAACAGATTAGAAGATGTAGAAACAACTCCAAACACACTCAGCCACCTTATCTTTGACAAAGGGGCAAAACACCTTCCCTGTAATAAATGGTGCTGGAGAAACTGGCTATCCACATGCCAAAGATTAAAGCTAAATTCATATCTCTCATCATGCACTAAACTAAAATAGAAATGTATGAAAGATCTAAATATTAAAACAGAAACAGTAAATCTGCTGAAAGAGAATAAGCAGAACTCTTGAAGCCACAGGTATAAGCAAAGTCTTTATGAACAAAACCCTGATCACACGAGAAATATTGCAAAGAATCAACAACTGGGATCTCATCATATTAAAAAGCTTTTGCACAGCAAAAGAAATTGCCAGCAGAGTGAAGAGACAAGCAACAGAATGGGAAAAAAATCTTTGCCAGCTGTTCCTCAGACAAAAGATTAATTTTTACAACATATAAAGAACTAAAAAATAACCCCCCAAACTTAAAGACCCCATTAAAAAATGGGCATCTGAAATGAATAAACTCTTCTCAAATCAAAAGGTACAAATAGCAAATAAATAAATGAAAAAATGTTCAACATCACTGGTCATTCAACAGATGCAAATTAAAATGATGCTGAGATTCTATTTCATTCCAGAAAGAATGGCTGTTATCAAGAATCCAACCAATACCAAGTGTTGGTGGAGATGTGGGGGGAAATGAACCCTTCTCTACTGTTGGTGGGAGTATAGATTGGTGCGACCACTGCTGAAATCAATGTGGAGATTTTTTAAAAACCAGGACTAGAGGTTCCAGTTGACCCAGCGATCCCGCTTCTTGGTATCTTATTGAAAGACTTAAAACCATCATATCACAGCGACATACACACACTCAGGTTTATAGCGGCACAAATTGTAATAGCTAAATCTTGGAAACAGCCCAAATGCCCATCAAAGGATGAATGAATAAAGAAGATGTAGGTTTTTATTTTGTTTTGTTTTGTTTTTTAAGTACAATGGATCACTGCTCAGCTATAAAGAAGGATAAATTTGAGACCTGTCTAGGTAAATGGATATACCTTAAGACTATACTCTTAAGTGAAATAAATTGGACAAATGTGTGAACATCACATTGCTTCTCTGGTGTGAGCAACTGAAAGTGTAAACAACGACCAACATGTATTATAGATATTACAAAATAGGAAGAAAATATTTAAGTGGACAGGGGCAGTAGTGAGGGTGGAGGAGGAAGGGGGAAAGGAAGGAAGAGAAAAAGAGATGAGAAAAGAAAAATAAACTGGAAACAAAGCTCTTGTAAAGGGGAAGAAGGGTCGAAGGGAGGGAAAGGATTTATTGTACCAATAAACAATTAATTTAAAAAATTCTTAAGTAATCATTTTGACCTTTTGCTTTCTGTACTAGAAAGTTATAATATGAGTATTCTGATCTTATTTTGATTTTTTATGTTGCAGCCATTTGACTCTGATTTCTTTGTAATTTATCCTCTCTTACACTGATTATTCATTGCTTAAGTGACTTTGGAAATTCAGGAGCCAAGTCTAAATATTTCATAACTTTGGTAATAGAATTAAGTGAATAAAAGTTGTGAGCAGAGAGAACTGCAGATTTTAAAATGGAAAGCTTGCAAAAGTATAGCAAGAGCAGAATAAAGGACAACAGAAAACAAAAGAGACAGATCTCATGTAAATCGGAAGGGGTAAGAGACGCTGGAATGGAGGAGGGCGGGAGGGGAAGAGGCCGCAAAAAAGAACTGAGATGTGTTATGTACCTGAACGATTCACACGATGAACGCCATATCATGATGCACTGCAAAGATGTAAAAGATGTACTAAGAAAAAACCATGGCAAGAAAAATCCTAGAAAAATAAGTACTCCAAAGTTGGTTTTAAATTAAATAAAACCCTACGAGGCTCTGTGTGTTGTCCAATTTGATTTGCAACATGACCGAAGAGAAAGAATTTTGATGGGCAAAAAACCTCAACTGATTCTTTACTCATCATTTTTGGAGAATGAAAAGATGATCCAGTTCACAATCCTTAGCTACATTTTGTAGGATTTCTTCTCTCTCTCTCTTTTTTTTTTTTTTGCTGCAAAAGAAGTATCTCCAAAAAAATATCCCTGTATTCAGTCTTCTCTCTAAAGGCCACACCCACCCTGCCTCAAAGGCTCACACCCACACTGCTGTGGAACCAGCTCCCTTTTTCTCATTTCTCTCCTCGTCTGGTAGAAGACTAAAGTCCGAGAATAGTTCGGCACAGCCAGAGCTTGGGATGTGGATGGAAGGGAGCAAGGACAGGCTATGAGCACGTGTGACAGTCTAATTTCCCCTTGTTGGGTGCCACGGGGCCCGAGAGAGTCAAACCCAGAACGAAAATCACCAGGAGACAGAGCTGGAAGTCACTTCCACTAACCACAAGCGTTTACGTATGTTTACCACAGTCCTGGCCCGCTACTCAGTGTGAATTGCAGTTTACTTAAATTAAAACTAGCGACAGCGAACTGTACTCTGTAAGGGTTCCAAAAATGTTACACAATATTTATGTGATCATTAATCATTTGTTCTCCAAAAATGCTAGTCATTAAAAAGGAGTGCGATGCAGTAAAATGATTACAGGACTGAGAATTGGAAGACGGGGTTTCCAATGTCACCTCCGCCCCTTTTCATCTGTGTAAAACGAAAGCAGCACCCTTCCTTCACACGACTGATGTAAGAAGCTCATTGGAAGGCACGCGAAAAAGTGCTAGATTTACCACAGGCAGTTAGTAAAAAGTTACACTTTCACATTGGCTGGATTACTGCCCTGTGGTGCTTTCGTTCTTTTTAATATCTTATTCATATGAAAGGGGTGTAAATGTTCCAAGAAAATCTCACAATCACAAGGATAAAACTCAGAGAACTGCTATTAATTCTTAAGGGATCTGGTTAAATGGCATTTATACTAAATTGCTCAATAGATAATGCTTGCAATGAACTTCTTTACTTCCATATTTTCCTGCTTGCACAAGGTCATTATCAGTTCTGATTTTTTTCTTTTCCAAAATATACAAGAATACCCTCTCTGCAAGATTTCCCTCTCTCTCCCTCCCCTCCCCGCTTTCTTTCTTGGTACCAGGGATCAAACTCAGGACCTTGAGCCTGTGAAGCAGGCACTGCACCACTGACCTCATTCCCCGGCCCTTGCAAGGTTTCTTTGTAAAAAAAAAAAAAAAAAGTGGTCAGTTCATATAAGTTCTATGTCATAGTCATGCTTCATCTTTTGTTCTGCAGGCTCTGTCTGGATTAGGTTCATCTATGCTGTATCTACCTTGCATTCTGAAGGAGGAAGTTTGGGATAACTTTGGAGGAGACATTGATTTTCACCTCATTGGGAATGATTCCTGGTACTCGTAAGTATTCATTCACCCACTCATTCTCTTATCCAACATTTGTTACGGACATGGATGTTAACTTGCCACCTTCTGGAATAGGTACAAATCCAGAGGCTTTTTTGAGGCAGGGTCTCACTCTGTATTTCAGGCTGGCCTTGAACTCACTATGTAGCCCAGAATGGCCGAGAACGCATAGTGATTCTCCTTCCTCTTCCTCCTGAGTGCTTGGATTACAGGCATGCCACCATGTCAGGCCCAACTCCAGAGGTTTTGTCCAGCAGTGGTTAAATGCATCAGCTGTGAAGCCAAACAACCTTGTGCAAAAATGTGACTCCACTGCATACTTGCTGTGAGCTGTGGAGCAGCTTGTTTAGCTTCTCTGAATCATGCTTTTCTTATTCTAGATACAATGGTAATGGTGAATATGATCTAGGGATGTTGTGAGTAAAATATATGCATTTTAAACAACTTACTTAGGATTGTCATCTTGTTATTTGCAGCAGAATTTAGGGGATTCTTTCCATGAAAATCTAGATTTGTCTCTTCAGTTGCCATTCAGTAATTGCAGCATCAGAGGCCAGGTGATTTTCTAAGTCCAAGATACAGTTTTTATATATATGTGTCTGTGTGTGTGTGTGTGTGTGTATATGTTATATATATATATGATGATGTTTTATATATATATATATATAAAACATCATCATATGATCATATATAATGATGTTATATATGTGTGTGTGTATATATGTATATATATATGCATATATGTATATATGTGTGTGTGTGTATATATATATATATATATAGCACTTGGAACAGCCTCAGCCTTCAGCAACCCCTAGGGTTAGCATTGTAATGCTAATTTTATAGACCAGGGTAAGGATACACTGCTATTCTGGAAATTGTGTAGACGTTGGTTTCATCTATATTAGTAGCATTTTCCCATTGGGGCAGTGAATAATATTTCAACACTAAATAATAATAGACTTCCAATAAAAGTGGGAACTTGCTGTTTCAGCCTCTTTAAAGCCAACCTTTCTGAGCAGGAATCCACCTTGAGTTGTTGTAGCTGTTCTTGCTGGAATATACCATTTTTACATAACTAAAATGTTTATATTTTTATTGCTACTTTAAATATGTACATGATCCCTTGATGTTATCATAATTGGTGAGCATTTAGTTTTCTTTATAGACCTACTCATTCACCCTCTCCTTTTACTATAGTCAACTCTAGTTTAACTGGTGTAAAATTCTAAATTGCCTTTCGTTAATGTTTTTCTCCTTGTTGTTGTTTTGTTTCTTTACTTAGGTGCTGGGGCTTTGTGCATGGTATGAAAATGCTCTACCACAGAGTGACAGCCCAGCCCTCTTTTTTTTTTACTGCTTAAATCATTGTACCTAAACAGCACCTAATCTTCTCTCAAATCAAGTGAGGAGCTATGATTCAGCTTCCTTTGGTGTATCTTTTTAATTCTTGTTTCTTAGGGTTTTTAAAACATGGTTATCACTGATTTAAAATTCCAAACCCACTGGTCAGGGTGGCCCACGCCTGTAATCCCAGTACTCGGGAGGCTGAGGCAGGAGAATCGCTGTGAGTTTGAGACCAGCCTGGGCTACAAAGTGAGTTCCAGGTCAGACTCAACTACACAGTGAGACCCTGTCTCAAACAAAACAAAACAAAACAAAACAAAACAAAACAAAACAAAAAAACAAAAATAAAATTCCAGACCCAATGTGGGCTGGGGCAGCAAAAATAAAATGTTTGCTATTCTGATCTTCCTTCAAAAGGGAACCCAAATGGGTAAATCTTACTTTTGTCAATTACTTATTCTATCTTTAAGATTCAAAACTTTTTTCTCATTTAGCTTTTTAGAAGATAAATTTATGGGGGAGAAGACACGTTAACTACAGTGATCTTAGTTAACTGAGGGGGCTAAGTCTTTCCGGTATTGATACTCATCAAGCCCCATCTCACCAAGCCAACACAAAAAAATACACTAGAGTAGCCTATTTACTTAAAAATATATATTACATATAAAACGTACATGTGTCCCATAATTATTGCACACAGCACATGATTTTACAATTCCTTGGATATATGGAACATTTAAACTTTGTATTTGCTCAGTTACCCATCAGTTGTCATGATAAATGAAATACACCGATGGCAAGTCTTCTAAAACAAACCCTCAAGAAGATTATGTCTACCCTTCTGCATCTTAAACAGCCCTGTAGCGGTGTTTTCCTCTTGAAACAAGTAGGAAATGTCAAATGATTTCCCCTTACAGTCTACTTTTTTTTTTTTTTTTGATGAAGACATTTACCTTGAGTGTAAAGGTTTTATTTTTTTTTTCTTGTGATGTCCTGACCTCCCAGAGAATTGGACATATGTATGTGTTGATCTTTGTACACTTCAGAGTAATCTACAAAGCACTGGGTGAAATAGAAAGCATGCAAATCAGATCTCATGTGAGCTGGATGTAGTAGGGCGTGGGAGGTCTCTACTAAGTGCTACCTACAAAAGCTTATTACGCCCTGCCTCCCACTATAGGACCACAGGAGATATCTCAGGGAAGAAGGGAGGGGTGCTTGCCTGGTGGCAGGTTCTCAGAAGATTTTGCACAGGAGGATGGGGGAGTGCTGTGTGAAGCCAGAGAAATGAGAAACTAAACCCAAGAGAGAAAATCTTTTCATCCCTGACTGTGAGTCTATAGGCTTGTTTGGCATTGGCCAACAAGAAAATTGATTTTGGACACCTTAAATAAGGTGAGAACTTTCTCATTTGACACAGGGCCTACCATCCCTTGGGTCATTTGTTGGGCATTTGTGATAATCTCTGCTCCATACAAATTTATTTGCAAATCTACCACGGAATTCCAGATTCTGATTCTGGAAGAATCAGATGCCAGATGCGATTTCCACTCCCCTTTCACTGAACAGAGCTCTGTCTCTTGCTAAGATGATCCAGCGGAGGCTGTGAAGCTCTGGTCCTGGCCCTCTGCTCCCACCCTGGGCCGGGATAGGACAAGCTAAGTCTCTCTCCTCAGGCACATCTTTCCAGTTGTTTCCACCCCTCTGTTTGCCATGGATTTGTCACTTCCTGTTTTGCCTCCTAACCTAGTGTATCCTAGTTTTGTTTCCTCTATTTTCTTTTGTTCACGCTCTAAAGGAGGAACCAAAATTCTGTATGAGCAATTTCAATGACAAAAGACAAGAAAGTTTGATGGGCCTGGGGTCCAGGACTTGGCTTCATTCATCTGGTTTTAAATACTCCTTGTCAGTGGAAAATGTGTTTGATTTTTTCATGTGCTCACACATGGAAAGCCTGCTGTAGGTAATCGCAGCATAAAGATTCCGAAGGAACATATCTTTAACAACGTAAGAGTGCTATCATTAAAGTTTAACTCCCGTATCATACTTTGATATGAGCGCCGCAGTATTCTTATTTATTTTTTCTATATCAAAAATAAGATACAGCCTCAACTGGTTAGTGCTACAGGTATTGTCTAATGTCTCCCAAAGCCTCATGTGTTCGTAGGATTTTTCAGAGGTGGCTGGACCTACAGCATGTGGCACGGGAACTGATTTGTGACACAATGCCAAGCTCAAGGGCACTAGGATTAAGTCAAGGGCACTAGGTTAAGAGTGTGCCTGCTACCCGCCCTAAATAGTCCAGATAAAATAAAAGCAGCTAAGTAGTTTGGATAAGACAAAAGGAGCGGAAAGAAGGCATCAAGTTCCCTTGTTGTTTTACTACCTCCTGTCAGCTGCCATGAACTGTTGCCCCCTTGCCATGTGCCACCCAGCCAATTAAGGACTGAAACTTCCACAGACTGAGAGCCAAATAAACCTTTTGTCTTTTAACTATGGGTGTCAAGAATCATGTCTCAGCGATGAGAGAAAAGTAACTAAGACAGTAATTGCAAGTGAATTATAACCATGATCTCAGAATCTCTGTGACACACTTGTTTAGAGAAAATGAGTGTGTGGAGAACCATAGAAGAGAAGGAAAATTGTTGACTGGTTTGATAAACATCATGGAGTAACGTTGGAGCCTGCTCTGTGTCGGACAGCACCATATGTGAAGCAATACACGGTGTCATGTCCCTTGGCCTAGAAACAGGTGATTTTATTTCATCCAAGTGTTGTTCATTTCACAGAACGATTATTTATTTTTTCCCAAGTAACATGGAAATACATTTATCTTGGGCAAAGACAAAATTAGGGGTGGAGCAGGAAGTAAATAAAATTGAAAAGTGACTGTGTGTAAGGTAAGGTCTGAGCAGCCTCAGATGTGCAATGCCCCATCGACTACAGGATTTCATTGCTCACCCTGAACATATTCCATGAGAACCTCCATTACTCTATCGACAGAACCTGTTCATCTGTAGAGCAGCATTACTTCACCTGCTGGCATTAACTCATCGTCCAACTCTTTCGATCAGCAGTCTGTACCGAGCCTCGTACCCATCAACACAACGCTTTTGTCTCCACAGACATTCAATCAGCGCAGTGCAGACTGGCTTCAAAGCTCAAATGCACACAAGGGAAAATTTACTTTTAACAGATGTATATTCAAAAATTAAAAAGCAAAACAAATCGCTCCTGGCAAGTTCAGCCTCCCTCAAGGCAAGGACAGCATAAAAATGGCAGGGAACAGCAGTAAGTCATTCGTGACTGAGGCTTGGGAGTTAACTGAATTGTACTGAACTGAACTCAGCAACAAATTAGAAATATGGACGGTACACTGTCCCCAGCATTTTTACTCTTTCTAACTCCAGGCACCACAGAGAGAGAAATGACTAAATCTCTATTTTAATAGTTGCTGTCAAGAGTTTTGCTCTGTAGGGCCTATTTCAGCAGTTTCTAGTGGTAATATATGACATTTTCCCGATTAACAGCCATTTTATAACCTGTGTAATTGGCCACAAATCAGGGGAACGTCATAATGTAGCAAGAAAACATTCTCATCTCCGTCATAGTCTTGGCTTGGTTTTCTGGAGGAATTATTACTTGAGTAGTTTCTGGGTTTTCATTACTTTAAATAATGTACTACCTGAAGTACAAGAAAAGACATTTAAAGTAATGAACATTTCTGTCTCCTAACCCTTTTTACCACCTCTGGCCTTAGATTTCTTCTTCAAATGCTAAAAATGCATTTTTTTCCCCTTAATTTTTGTATTAGTACTGATGTTTATGGGGAAATAGAGGCAAGGACAGGATGGGGAGAAGGGTGTGACACATAGCATGCAGCTCAGCATGACATTTGAAAGCACATTTTATTGCTTGTTGTCATTGTTGCTTGTGATCCTGGGGATAGAACCCAGGGCTTTCACACTAAGCTACATCCGCAGCTCTTTTTCACTTTCTAAGATTTTAAAGACAGGCTCTCACTAAGAGTCCAGGTTGGGCTTCAACTTGTGATCTGCCTTCCTTAGCTTACCAGAGGACTGGAAGTAATGAATGTAATATTTTAATAGGTCAACATTAATGCAGAAAAAGACCTATGAGGAACGAAATAGTAAAGTATTGAGGAAAGACACGAGCTGCCCCTGCATTTGCATGAATGCCTCTGCTCACCTGCCCCTGGGCCAGGGTATTGGATAGGAAGAAGCAACCGCAAAGTAATGGGGTTCACTCCAGTTGTGCAGCAAGGCAACACATTTTGGCTCTTTACAGTCACTTTTCAGAACCTAAGAAGAGTTTTCAGCTGTACGGAATATGGAAGTAGGTGGTTTGTTTCACCTGTTGTACGCTGTCCAAGGATTTTCTTTCAAAGTACTACCTTACATGGTGATAGATCTTATCAATCCATATTGCCCACCACGAGAGACCGTGGTTCATTAATTTAAAACATTGTAAATTGAAAGTATTTTTCAACATCTGTTTCTGGGATAAATAGAAACAAAAACCGATCATTTATTAAATATGTATTAACTTTGTTCCAATTTGGGCTGGTCTGTGTGATATGCAGTAGAAATCTGAAGGTAACAAAAGACCCTGTCTTTCCTGAAGAAGATGGAGTGAAGTTATAACTGTAATGGCTTGACAAATCCAAGGGGAAGGCTCTGCACAGAGAAGAGGCAGGCAGATAACACAGGGCATTAGGCTTCCTGGAGAACAGACAGGAGCCAATTCCTGAGGGCCAGGAGAGGGTAATGAGATGAAGAACAGGGATAGAGGATGGTGCTTTCCAAGGCGAAGAAATAACACCGAGAAATCTTGTAATCTTAGAAGGTGGTATGTTTTGGAAGGATCATCAATATTTACGTAGCAAATAGTAATGGTTGAGATGAAAGAAACAGGAGACAATTCCAGTGAGAAAAAAGTAATACTTGAAAAAATTACCAACAGGAAGAGCAAAAACATTTAATAATAAACTTTGAACACAAAAAACATAATATATAAGGATAAATATTTTATGTGCTTAGGTTTTTTAGTAGGAATAAAATACATGAAAATATATTTAAAAGAGGTGGAAAAATTTTAGAATACACTAACAAAACTGAGTTTCAGAGAAACCTTTGTGCCATATGCACTAAATTATTCAAGAGCTTCATTTCTGAAGCCAAAACAACATGGCGTTTGGTACTTTAAAATTTATCATTCTAAAAGTTACTTTGCTTTAAAGATAAGTAAAGTAATGCTATAGAAATCAGGGTTAAAATTTGAAATATTACTCAGTGCAAAGTAAAACAGTAAAACTTGTGAGAAAGATTACTTGTGTTATATCCACATTATCAAATAATCATGAAAGTCATGCCAAACCCATTTTATTCTTTAATACTGTAATAGAATATCTTACCAGTTACTATGCAGTTAATCTGAATATAATAAAGACATTGGCCACACTAACCATTTACGTCATTTGCTAACTTCTTTGCCTCATTTAGAATCCGGAAGCTTTTTTGAAGAGAGCCTTTAGCATCTTCCTTTAGCAAACCTCGAGGACTTGTTGCCTGTGGAGAGAAAGAGAGTTGTCCAGGGTCTAAAGCCATGGAATAATGGAATAGAGATATCTGGAAGGCAGTTCTGGGCTACAGATTTAGGATTACAAATTTATCAGCACATATCTGGTGACTGGTTATGGGGAGATGGAAAGGTCTAGCAGAATCTTTGGGAACTGCATCACTCAAGGTGCAGGTAGAGGAAGTGGGAGGGGCTGAAAAGGTGGCATGGATTCCCAAGGGGAAAAGGAGCAACCAGGAAAGCAGGGTTTTATGAGAGCTAACAGAGAGAGAAGAGCCTCAGTGGGGACAGCTGGCAGAGTTGTGAGGTCATAATTGACGTTATCGATGGTGAAAAATACACAAATAATTAGTGCTATTGAGCGCCGCAGACGTCAAGCAAACCCAGGACCGAAAACATCCACTGGCTTTATCTGTAAGCTCATTTCACTGTAGTTGTGGGGTGAGGGGGGAGCCTTTCCTCTGTCCCCCAGGTGTGGAAATGAGAAGGAGCAACTGCTCCCTTTTTAAGTACGTCTCAAAGTACAATGGGAAAACACAAACTTCTAAACAACAATCTCAACAATCTTCTAAACAAGGCTGTATTTGTGGAGGCTTAGATTAATAGAGGTGTTACTGAGGTAATAGAATGGGGATAGGGTCATTTAACTTGACTGTCTATTTATGCACTTTAATAGCGTTTCTCCTCAGCAGTCCTTACATACTACATATATACCAAGCCATACATCAAATAGAATCTTATGTGTAAATTTCAAATTGGAAAAATATTTCAGTGTGCAAAAAGGGCTGGAAAATGCTAAATGCTTGCTGTAGCGGTCATAAATCTCAGGTTATCCTATATATAATACTCTGCAAAGACAGTGGTGGCACCTAAGTAACATTATTTTTATCAGTCTTGTTCTTTAAGCACTAAACTACGAATGATTACAGAACATAGTACGGCTGTAGTCAAATTTAACATGTTATTTCAACAGCTTTCATTTAAGTACTCTATTATTCACAAGATGCACTGTGCACTATGATATCTAAAGAGTAACTTATTAGAAAGAGCAGGATAAATAGAAAGGAACATTGTAAACACTGCATACAACTCTTTCAAAAGACAAACACAGCAAATCATTCTATGGCAAATTCATAATGTTTTTCCTTGGGGACGCAAGAAATTTTAGTTCTATATTTTATTTATTCTTCTCCTTCTTATTCTGCTTATTGTTATTTTGCTTGTTTGTTTTTTGGTACTGGGGATCGAACTCAGGTCCTTGCTGCGAGGCAGGCACTGGAACCACTGAGTTAAATCCCCGCCCTGTTTGTTTTTTGTTTTTGAGACAAGGTCTTGCACTATGTAATGCAGGCTGGCCTTGAACTCACTATGTACCTCCAGCTGGCCTTGAACTTGCTGTAATCCTCCTATCTCAGCCTCTTGAGTGCTCAAATTACAGGCTTGCACCATCATGCCCAGTTTACTCCTACATTTTATTTTAGGAATTAGGCAAATAACATCACATAAGGGACATTTATCTTGGGGAAAAAAGTAAGTGTAAAAACGAATGGCACAAATTCAATGTATGCTACTCAAAAAAATAAGCCTCAGGTTACCCTTTTCAGGTTTTATATTTGTTCCAAAATACACACCATTCTTACTGTCTTGGTTATAATTATTATGAATTAAAATAGATCAAAGATAGGAAATTACAAAGAAAAAAGTTGTAAATATTCCTTAGACATATAAAAAGAGCAGAAGTGACAGCCAACAATCTGTTTGACAATGAGGAAAGAGACATGTCTAAAAGGAAAAAAGAATTTTCGAAGCTTAGAAATCTAAGTCAATTTGCAGAGAGATAAAATATATAAAAGTAGTCAGTAGATTTCAGGATTATTGTAGTAAAATACTTCATGTTAATAATGATGATGATGCTGAGTTATCAAAAGAATATGTGTCATTCATAAAATGTTAGGTGAAATTCTAAAAAAGAGAAAAAGAAGAAGTTTCCCCTATATCCCGGAGATATGGATAGTTTTTATAAGACCACTGGCTCGCAAGCATTTAAAAACCATAATTTAAAATGTAAATTTTGCGAGTAGAAAATAAGGTGCAGCATGAAAGAATGAGATGACTGAGTTTCCATGCAAAAGAAAATTAGAAGGAATAGAAGAGGGAAAAGAGAAGGGCCAGTCAACCCCGAAAGAAGCTAACGTCTGAGCTGGACTGTTCAGTGACTATCGTCAGTGGTCACCAATATTTGGCTTTTCTACCTTTACTTTTGTTTCAACAGACTGTTGAGATATCACTGGCATCAGTAAACTGCACACACTTAGGCTTTACAGTATGATGTTCCATATATGCAGACCCACAATTACTTCGCAATTTCTCCCTTTCATCCCTCCTCTTCTCTCCATTCCTAGACAAACCCTGGTTGATATTTGCTTCATTATATGTTTACATTTTATATAAATTGAGTAATTCTGGAGGTAATTTGGGGGGATTCTGGCTTCTTTCACTCAATACAATTTTGAAATTTATAAATGTTTGATCTTTTTTTCTATTAGTGGGCCAATATTCTTATAATTCCAACTTTACAAGTTTTAGGACTATGAAGTGGTTTCAAAAGTATTTGTGCTACTTTAAATTTCTACCAGGAGTGAATACAAGTTCTACTTTTTAAATATCGTTGTGAAGAGTTGATATTGTCAGACTTTACAAATTTTTGACATTCTAATTTATCATCATTTTGGTTTCAATTCAAATTTTCCAAAAACTAACAGTGTTTTCCTGTTCTTATTGCCAATCTTCTTTGGTGAAGTATTTGTTTTACTCTTCTGTTAAATTTTTTATTAGATTTGTTATTATTGAATTTTGAACCATATTTAAGTATATTTTGAATACAAATCATTTATCAATTATCTAATTTGAAAATATATTCTTTTTATATGGGGCTTACTTTTCATTTTTTTAATATTGTTTTTGAAGGATAGAAGTTCTAAATTTTAATGAAATCTAATTTTTTGTTTGAAAATCAGCCTTTGGGAATTATAACTACAAATCTGTATCCAAAATCTCAAATATTTTAATATTTTCTTTTAGATGTTACATAGTTTAATATTTTACACTTATGTCAATAATCTACTTTTTAGTTAATTTGGAATATGGCATGGATCAAAAGGTTTTTGGCACATTTTTATTTAATCATTCAAGTAGCATTCTTTGATTATACTTTGAATTTTTTTTTTTTCTTTGTCAAGTATTATTTGGCTGTATTTTTCTGGACCTGTTTCTAGACTTTTTCAATACTGATACAAACACTATACTGGCTAATTGCCTTAGCTTTAAGTATGACAGCATAACTCTTCTAGATATTTTTTTCTTTTTAATTTCATATAAATTCTAAATTTACCCCTGTCAATTTTTTCAAAATTAATGCTATGATTTTAGTTTGGGTTTCATTGCATGTGAATAACAGTTTGTGTAAAATTGGAATTATAAGAATTTTGGCTCCTCTAATCCATGAACATGGTATATTTCTTGCGTATTTAGGCTTTTAAAATTTTAAGTAGCAGTCTGTGTATTAGTCTGGATTTTTTTTAATACAGTATATTCCTATTTCATACTGTTGATGTTATTTAAATTGTATTATTTTACTTTCAACTTCCAATTTATATTTAACTGTGTATACTAATAATTAGTATATATTATTAGTAGTATATATTAATATCAGTGTCATATTATATAAATTGGTAAACTTGCTTATGAGTTCTACTAAGTTTTTAATAGATCTCATTGGTTATTGTGTGTAGACTGCAAAGGTACTTATGAAAAAAGACTAGCAAACTTTGCTTTCAATCTGGATGCCTTTTACTTCCTTTTCCTTGTCTATTGCAATGGCTAGCAATTTCTGTGCAACATAAAGCAAAAGTGATGAGAGTGGAATCCTTTCCTTTTTCCTACTCCTAATAAGATAGCATTCAGTCTTTTAATATTAAGCATGAAATTACTATAGGTCTTTTAAAATAATAGACTTCCATAGATATCAAATAGAGAAGTTAGTTCCCTGTTCATCTTAGTATACTGAGAGTTTTTTTTTTTTAGAATATATGTTAGATTTTTGTTACTTTTTTCATCAATTGAAATATTATGATTTAATTTTTAGTTCATTAATATGAAAAATTTCACTGACTGTTCTTCAAAATTTGAATAAATCTTACTTTTTTGGATTTATCTCACATAGAAATAGTATATAATCCTTTTAACAAATGGTTGGATTTGGTTTGCTGTAACTTGTTAAGAATTTTTGCATGTGGGGGATATTTATCTGTAATTTTCTTTTCTTGTGATATAATTGATTGGTATTGCTATCAGAATAACACCAGTCCTATAAAAGGAGGACATATTTTCTCATCTTTAATTTTCTGTATAAGTTTATTATTTCCTAATATTCGATGGAATTCTTAAGTGAGTCATCTGGAACTGAATATGCATGTGTGTGTGTGTGTGTGTGTGTGTGTGTGTGTGTGTGTGTGGTTTTTAACTACAAATTCATTCTCTAATAAATATGGATTTATTCAAGTTATTTATCATTTGTGTATCAGTTTGGGTTAGTCATTTTTAAAAGAATTTGTTCATTTAACTGAAATTATTAAAATATGGAGCACGAAATGATTCAAAAATATTTTCTTAATATCTTTTACCTCTGTAGAAGTTGTAGTGATATTGGTAGTTGGTAAACTTTCTCATTTTTTTTTTCTGATACTAGTCTGTCTAGAAGGTGATTAGCCTATTGATCTCTCATTTACCCTTTGTCTTCATTGGCAGTAAGATTGAGACTTCACTGAAGCTTATTTACTGATAGATTTCCTCACTGCTATTTTCTATATTTGTGCATTTCTGAATATCACCTACATTTTGCTTTCAGGCATCTTGTCTTTCTTGTGTTTTAAGAAGCCAGCAATTTTTCCTCTGGGTCCTTGTCTACCATTCCTTGCTCAGACATGAGGAT